CTATTCTGTGACATGATTTCCGTTAGTAGATCATCCTTACTTAATGATGAATTGGTGACAGAAAAATTTTGTCACTAATTTGTTAATAATCCATCGCTAAATAATTAGTAACAGTGGAATTAGTAATAAAATTTTTTTATCGCTAACTGAATTTTGCCACTAATTTTGATCAATAATGGAGATTCTATCATTAAATTTCATTGCTAATTTGCTGTTTTTTTTAGTGAACATTGAAAAATATAATATTAACATTTTCTTAACAAAAAAACCCATTTAAACTAGATAATTTTCTCATAAGTTTATTCAATATTTTCCTAAAAGAGAAAATTAAATGAATCAAATACAATTTAAATAGATAAATATAGTTGTAATGCATAAAAAGGAAAAAAAAAAGAAGAAAATAACTCAAGACATGAAAAATGTACAAACTTCATATCAATATTTTAAAAGCTGGATGAGGAGTCAAACCGAAAAAATCAACAGGTTATGGTTCAATTGGTCGAACCACTCGGACTGTTTGGTCAGACTAGTGATGTAATAATTAATTTAAAACAATATTATATACATATAATTAATATATATATGAAAAATATCAAATTATTAAATAATTTAGAAATGCATTTAAATAATCAAAAATTATAATGAAATCATTGAAAATGGACTAAAACCTTATATATTTAAATTTATGTATGTTTAAAATATTTAATAATATTAAAAATTATTAATTCATTCAAATCAAAATATTGTTTTAAAAGATAGAACAGACATCGAAACAAAAAGGCTAACGACTCACAGTTTTAACACCACAATATATGAAATTTTCAATAAAATAATACTATACGGTTATAAATAGTCTACAAATATATTAGGATATTTGAGGGGGTCAATTTTTTTATTTTTCTTCTTTTTTTTTTTTTTAATTTTTTAGTATCTTTTCAGTTAGGCTAAAAAACCGTTCTAGTTCCTAGTCCAACTCTGAGTTCTGGCTTAATGACGGCTCAACTCTGGTCCCATTCAACTCAACCATCTGAACGGTTTTTTGGTCCAAACTGAGCTGTTAACGAGTCCAGTTGATCGTTCAACTAGTCCAACCGTCCGGTCCGATCTGGTTTTTTAATCATTGCTTCATATATTAACATAACAAACATATAAATCATCACCATTTTAAAATATTACATGTTTCATAGACAAAATCACCTAAAGGGTAAAATAAATAGTAGCTAGCTAAAACTTCCATATGAAGATTATTTAACTGGTAGGGCATCTAAATTTTGCATAAATGTGACCTTGTCTTTTTCAATGACACCACAACATCAGTCATCATGATTCGTGCTTCAGGTGATTCAGTGCAACAACTTAATGCCAACTCAAAAATTGATGACATATGTGGTAATACATTGCTGATATTTAGATTCCTTTGATGCAGCAAATCGACATCTAAAATATGGATGATTGAATGTGGCGTTGATTTGTTAACCCAATCTTTCAAATCAAGACCTTCAACAAACATTTCATCAGTTGGCTTTTTCCTTGTAAACATCTCCATTAGCAAGATACCATAGCTATACACATCTCCTTTTAAAGAAACCACTCCTCTTGATCCATACTCTATTTCAAAAGAGAATACAAAGTTTGTGGTTAAACACTTCTTTTATATAAATGATATAAATATTCAAATGAAGGAATGGAAAATATAAGTTAGTGGTTGAATAATACAAAAGTTTACATAGAATAATAAAAAAACAAATTAAAATAACTAAACTAAGATATTATTATTAAATTATTACCTGGTGCCATATAGCCAAGTGTAGCCAATGTTTTTGTATAAGTTTCTAGTTGTCCTTCACCTAATAGTTTAGCTATACCAAAATCACTAAGATGAGCCACCATATCTTCATCCAATAAAACATTACTTGGTTTTATGTCACAATGAACAACTGGAATAGAAGTACCATGATGAAGATATTCTAATGCAGCTGCCACATCAACCATTATATTTAACCTTTGCAAGATATCTAAGCAATAGTTATGAGAATGCAACCATCTGTCAAGACTTCCATTAGGCATAAATTCCATGATCAGAGACTTGAAATCACCATTTGAGCAACTACTAATAATCTTAATGAGATTACGATGCCGTAAGTTACATAGAGCAATGCATTCATGATCAAAACTCCTTAGGGCCTCTTCCAAGTTAGAATCAAATACTTTAACAGCAACTACTTCTTGATTTGAAAGAATTGCTTTGTATACTGATCCAAAACTTCCAAAACCAAGAAGATTACACAAATCAAATCCATTTGTTCCCTGTAGAAGCTCATGATATGATATCCTAATTGTTGTCTCCAAATTTACTAAATCCCTGTTGGTTGAGTGATTAGCATGATCTCTCTTTTGCCTTATAAAGATAATGCATGAAACAACCAAAATGACAATCATGATAGGTAACATGCATTTTAACAACATCATCAATTTATTTGACATGTGCTTGCTTTCTTCCTTACATGGGGGAACTTCTAGTTGAGACGTTCCACAAAGATCTTTATTCATTATAAAAGATTTGGCAGTAAAATTTTGAAAAGGTCCGCCTTGTGGAATTTCTCCATGCAATGAGTTGTAGGAAAGATTAATATATTTGAGATGGACTAATAACTCCAACGACTTTGGAATCACACCAGACAAATAATTATGAGAAAGATCCATAGACTCCAAACTAATCATCCCACCAAGTGATTCAGGAACGGGCCCTTGTAGTTTGTTTTGGGTCAAGGACAAGTTTATCAAAGTTTGCAAGCCTCCTATGGTTGTAGGGATGTTACCTGAAAATTGATTTCTTGACAAGTCCAACAAGATAATTGCTCTCAAGTTTGATACTTCAAGTGAAATTATTCCACTCAATGCATTGGATGATAAGATTAAGACCAAGACATCCTTGAGGCTCCAAAGAGAAGAGGGTATATGAGAAATCAATTTGTTGGAGCTAAAATCCAACTTTCGCATGGAAGTATTCCCAAGACATCCTGGAACCATTCCTGAAAACATGTTGTTGTCAAGGAACAACTCACTCAAACTTTTGAGTTGGCAAAGTTCATTTATAATCAACCCTTGCAATTTGTTGACGCTGAGACATAAATATTGAAGACTTCTTAATTTGCCAAATGTAGCAGGAATCAGCCCGTTGAAGTCATTAGCAGGCAAATTTAGTGCAATCAAGTTGCTTAAATTCCCAAGAACATTGGGTATGGCTCCGCTAAATTTGTTGACAGCTAACTCTAATATTGTGAGTTTTGAAGCATTCGAGATGCTTTTTGGAATGTGTCCAGTAAGCTCATTAAATGCCATAGATAACTTTTTCAAGTTAGGAAGGCTTGTTCCTAAATATGATGGGAGAAAGCCAGAGAGGAGATTCCTATCAAGGCGCAAGCTAATCAATGTTGAAATGTTGAATATACCAAAAGGAATAGGTCCACTCAAATGGTTTGTTCCCAAATCTAAGAATTCAAGTTTAACAAGATTACCTATATCCTTCGGTATGAAACCTGAAAAAACAGAAACTAATGGGTAATATCAGATTTTCTTTGGTGAACAGGTAATATCAGATTTTAAAACTAAACGGAAATGTAAAAAGAAAAAAGACGGTCATATTGTTTGAGTATTGTACATACATATACTATAACATAAACTACACGCATCTCTCTGTTTTTTTTTTTTCAATTATTATTATGGTTAGGGAAACTATGCATCTCACTTTCCAAAAACATTAGCATTTGTGTTAAGGGTACTCACGGGACGGGACGGGACTTTTGTCCTGTGTCTCATTCCGTCCCTCTTTTTTTGTTTTGCCTTTTTAGATTTTGGGTTTTTATTTTTTGTTGGGCCCGTTTTAAATTTCTTCTTGATTTTTTTTTTGGGACTAAGCCTATCATAAAACGCATGTCCATCCTCTAATTGAACCTCGGCACACTTGCTTCGAGTTACATAAAAACTAATTACACTGAGCAGAGCCCATTCCGGTCGAATTCCCTCCCCAGATCTTCATTTAAATAATTTCCTAACTGGTCCATTCTTTCGTTTTTTTTTGGAACATGGAAGAATCAAATCAAATCAAGGGTGTGTTTGGATGAAACCAAACCGTGGTTTGGAAAAGTGATTCTGGAGAATAGATTCTGGGGAGAATAGATTCTGTGAAGAATAGATTTTGTAAAAAAGTGATTCTGAGAAGTGAGAGTGTTTGGATAGTTGTTATCAGAAGCACTTTTTATATATACAAATTACTAAAAAAAGACATAAGTTAATATGATAATTACAGAAAAAATAGATTTTATGATATATTTTAATTTGAAGGAATAAAATTGTTAATAATATATTTTTTACCAACATAATTAATAATACATAAGATAATATAATTAATAAATAATTAATGTGTATATATATTTATAAAATATAAAATTAAATATGTTTATCAAAAAATATGTTTATAAAAAAAATAACAAGATACATATCATATAGGCTCTCACACTTTTCCTTTTTTCTCCAAAAGCAAAAATTTTTTGCTTTTTCCAAAACCATGGTTTTGGAGTCAAAACCATGGTTTTGGTTTTTAGAGGGGGTGTTTGGGTGATTGACACCCCAAACCATGGTTTGGGGTGTCACCCAAACACATCCCAAGTCAAAGTTCGAAGGAAACTACCAGGTCAAACCCATGCTCACGGACTAATCAGAGCTGGCGTCGGAGACACAGGGTGACTGAGGAGACAAACGTCGCAATCAGAGAATCAGCAAAGCAAAGTTACAGGAGGGAATTCAGAGCTGTCGAAGATTATTACTTGCACTTTTGACGATCATTTCTGCAGAAAAATGTGCCTCTGGTGCTGATTATTATGATTTTCGACGCGAAGGGGTAGAGTGACCGAAACGCGAGTCTCATGGGGAGATTAAGGAGGGCTTTCACAACGATGAATGACTCAGATCAGAGCTAGCCAAAGAAAATGGTAGACCAGCTACGACGCCGCGGCAGGGAGAGTCACGAGCTGGTGAGGAGGACTTCGGACAGTGACAAAATCTGGAGGCCGGAGAATTCGCGAGAGGCCGAGATCTGGACAGGAATGGCCGAATGGTATTAGAAAAATTATTAGCAGAGTTGGCGAGAAGGAGTCGCAGGAGTGAGGAGTGAGTCTGGAGACTGCCGAGAGGGAGATGGAAAAGGAATGGTAATAAGGCACCTGTAATTTTCTTTATTTGCAAATTGTTTTTTTAAATTACATGCCCCGGATAGGACCGGGACAAGGTTGTCCCATCCTGTCAAACTATTTTGTCCCGTCTCAAAGTGATTGAGATCAGAACAAGACAATTTGAACATTCTTAATTTGTGTCATGCTAATCAATCTTAAATGAATGTTAGAAACGTAGAAAATAAATTGTCTAACCATCAATGTACTTACGTAAACTGCAGTCTCCCGAGGTTGAAAATAAATTAATCTTGAATAAATATGCAACGTTTATAATTAAATATATTTCTTTTGTACATTGCCAATTAATATAATAATATGTCACATTCAGCATTAAATTCTTCCTCGGCAGTATCTCAAGGTAAATTTTTTTTGGGGTACAGTTGGAGTGAGATATTCTTTGGTATTATTAGAGTACCATAGCATTTACAATGTGTCTTCAATTCTTCATATTTATATATTTTCCCTACTTTCTCTTCCCTATTACCTTAAAATATATTTTTAATTTTTTAACTTTATATAAGGCTCAATTTGGTCCTTAACTGTAAGCAGTATATTTTTAGTCATTTAACTCTAAAACCTTGTATAAATAAAATGACCAAAAAAAATAAAAAATATCATTTTTGAGAAAAATATTAACAAGAAATCACATGTATAAGCATATATACCTGTAAATGAATTATTATCCAAATATAAGTGTGTCAAAGATGTGCAGTTACTTATTGATTGCAGAATGCTTCCTTCTAACCGATTCCTAGCAATACTGAATTGTTCAAGTAAAGGAAGATGACGACACATTTTTTCTGGCAAATTGCCACTTAAATGATTAACGTGCAAGATAATCCTTCTCAAAGTAGGCATGTTCCAAAGAAATGAAGGAAATCTCCCTATAAAAGATACAAAATATTTGTTAATTAAATAGCAGGTAGCATGACTAATAATAAAAATTCAAAGTCAATTAGCCCTTCTCTTCATCATTCCAATCAAAACACATCCATTTTTTTTTTGGTTAACATTACAAACTTTATAAATAATAATTTTAATAAATAACAAAATTAAGATATGCTTTTGATTATCCTAATATGCTCGTTTAAGGCTTACTGAATCTGGGGGAAAAATCCTCAAAAAAATTTTCAATTACAGGACAGCAAACATTTATTTTCAAAGACTGATCTGATAAAGAGCCTTTAGATCTATCCAGACTAATATTATAACAGTATTCCCCATGGCGTGACCGTATAAATCGTTTCAAAATTTGGATGATCATGAAGGGCTTTTTGTTCCAAAAAGACTATAAAAATGCTGGCAACAATTAACAAGAAAATTCATTAAAAAAACCAAAAATAAATAAAAAACAATCGAGACAAACCTATATTCCTCAAGGATAAAATCCTTAGACCAAAGACAAATATAATTATTAAAAATAATACAAAACATACCTGACAAATTGTTAAAAGCCAAACTCAAAATCTCAAGCGAAGATAAGTTGAAAATTGTTGGAGGAATAATTCCTGAAAGGTTGTTAGCTGAAAGTCGTAGAATCTTCAAACGCTCAAGTCTTCCCACCTCAAGTGGAATGTTCCCTTCAAGTAAATTAGAATTCAAATCTAAGGCCTCCAACCTTGATAGATTGAATAGAGATAGGGGAATAAACCCATCAATGTCGTTATTTTCAAGAGTTAATTGCTCAAGTGAAAATAAATCTCCTATCCACATTGGAGCTTGCCCATAAAAGCGATTATGGCTCAAGGTCAGTAGTTTCAATCTATGCAATCGAGCTAACTCTTTTGGTATTTGACCATAAAAATTGTTGTAACTGAGATTAAGTTCAACAAGGAATGAGAGATTTCCTAATTGCGGAGATATGGTGCCTTCAAGTTTCATGCCTCCAAGATTCAATGAGTGTACCCTTCCATGACGAGCATTGCACATGACACCAACCCAATTGCATGGAGAAGAAGAGACAGACCAGTTAGCTAAGAAATCATATGGATCTGAAGTAATATGGAATTTAAGGGCAAGAAGTGCATATTTGTCTGAAGTGATGTTTGTCTCAGTCCAAGCTAAGCAGGAAATGGAGCAATGAAGCAAGAAGAGGAAAGCAAAGGCGTAAGGTTTTCCCATGTTTAACATCTCGCACTGATCAAATTTGCAAGTCTTGGGCATCTGGGAAATCAACACGCACGTTATTTTATACTTCTCAAATTCCAAATCAAAGTCAAGGCATACAAACTCAATTACAAAAGGCCTGACTGTGATTACTTACAAACTTTCAAATAATAAAAACTTAACTTTATTGACTTGTATTTTGCTTAAGACTAATTTATATTCTCTGCTATTTTTCTAGTATGGATTTAATATTCCAATAAACAGACAGTAAAATAAATTGTATAATTAAAAACGGTATTTGCAAATATTACATTCTGTAAGGATAATAATTGTGTGCGCGCGCGCGCGCGCAAATTGAGTCAATTTGTTAGTGCTGCCAATATTATTAAGTAGTTAGCTACACAATCTCGATCCGTACGATGGAAGCTCAATTAAAGCATGATCCTTAATAGCTTGTATATATTTGGAGACCAAACAAACGTATATAAATTTGAACATAACAAGTTTTATTTGTTATATTTTATTGTTTAATGTTTAAAGATAGTCTCTTTTGGTTTTGAAAAACTGATATATATAGTCTGGTGCTTTGTATTGGGAGAGGCCCCAAAAAGTTGTTTAAAAAACGAGTTATATGACAAGATATTTTTATTGCCAAAAAGACAGCCTATAAGATATTCTTTTTATAAACTTTACTTGATAATTCCAATATTTGTATTAGATTTTTCATTATTATTATTCAACCATTAATTTAGTATCGATATCGACTTTTCTTGAAAGCCCGCCGTAGTGTACAGGCGCATTAGGTCAATCACTGCATTGTTTCATTGAACTGTGGTTAGGCGTGGTAGGCCTTGATTAGAGCTGGTGAAGTGTATCTATCACCCCTTAATTTAATTTGAAAGTAAATAATGGCAGCCTTAACGGACCAGAAGACCTAAAAGTCAATCAAATTAAATAAAAAGGGATTATGATGCAAATCTATATATGAAATATTGCTCCATACACATGATCTATCGAACACCATAAAATTTCTTTGAGTGCAAAAATACACATGAATGTTTCAAAATAATACAAAAATATCACGGCTGTCTTGTTAACTAACATTAGTAAATTAGTAAATATGCCAATTAAGAAAATGTTACAAAGTACACATGAAGGTTCAAAACAGTGCAAAAATGTTACTGGCCATTAAGTCAATTAGTGTTCACTGTTTAGCAAATAATACCCACACGCATCGCGTAACGTTTTTGCTCCCAGCAACCCCATCTACCTTAGCGGGGGTCTTCTGAACAATGGAATGGCTACAACTCCTCGCTATTAGTGCTGAAAATGGCCCTTCCCCAGCCACCTTGTCCGCTATCCTTTTCTTTAGTTAAGGATGATGACTTGTTTGTTGTGTCTAAGGATAACATTTGGTTTCCAGGAAATGACCCGGTGATAAATATTATAAAAGGATTTGGAAATGTTAATTTTAGTGCACGACTAATTTACAACAACAATACTCCTAATCTTTAGGCAAAATCACCAATGATGAAGAAACCAAAAAAGAGGACGGCGGGTAAGGCGGTTGGGGAAGGCCAACTTTGACATCAAGGAGGTGCGGCCATTGCGTCATATATATAGAAGACCCCGTAAAAAAAGACGAGGTTGCAAGGAGCAAAAACGTTGAGCATCAAGTGTGGGGACTGTTTGTCAAATATTCAGTATTAGTTGACTTAATGGTGACTTTTTGCGTCATTTTAAAGCCTTCATATATATTTTTGTACCATTAAATCTACATTGAGAGATAAAGGGAATAAGATATGGAACATTATTAGGGAGAAGGCTTACTCGGAAAAAAGTATTGTGCATTTATGACAATACTTTCATGTTTCTTTATGGAACCCTGTTATAGTTAATTTTTCATATAAAAATTTTTCCTATTAATTTTAAAAAGAAAATTTTATTGAAATATTAATATTTTAATATTTACAGTTAAAGATAGCAGGTTTATAGGTATATTATTAATATTTATAAATCAACTTATAATAATATTAATATTTTAATATTTATAAGGTAAACATTGTAATTTACAATATTATCATTATATCTACTTCGGGTTCGGGTTTCAGCCCAGCTGGCTTCTAGCTCTGTAAAGATTAGAAGTTACACGTTCCCACAAGAAAAGGTGATCCAGGGAAAAGGGAGGAAAAGTGTGCAGTTTATAATTTCTTCCTTCATCATATCGAATTATAGGCACATCACGCGTTAGACTCGTGAGCCATGTAGGGACAAATAAAAATAAAAACACTAAAAGCTGTCGTATAAAAGAATGAAAGCAGTGACATTAAGATATTCCTTCGATTCTAAATATAAGATTTTTTTTATAGTGTAATTTACACTACAAAAGAGATTTTATATTTAGAACATGAAAAGTACCAAGTACCATATTTTTAATATCACAATGCACTACCCAAAAAAAAAAAGGGTCATTGCATAAGCCATAAAGCGATCTTCAAAAACATGCTATTTTATTAGGTACACAGAGTGTTTGACTTGTGAATAGACTTTAAAGTCTTCATTTATATGAAACAAATTTTATATATGTTATCTCCGATCCTTAATATAGAAATTAGATAACTAATTTATAAATACTAAAAAAATTAATTAATTATTTGCAGCAAATGTGTCTTGATTTTCCTAGGCTACCATTTTTAACCATATGCATTAGAATTACTCTTTTTTTGAGGGCCCTCTAATATGTGTAATCAATAGAAATACTTTTAGACAAAAAACCAAAAATTTAGGAGATATTATATTTAGGACCCAAGTGAACCCCTTATTAGTTTGTATATTTACAATCAGAGAGGGTGTGTGTATATAAATAATTAAATATGTGTGTAGTATTCTGCATGGTACTAAAAACTAAACCAGTTGGCCACCAGCAAAAACTGATGATGGGTTCGACTCAGGGTGACTCAGTGTAAACCAGAAGAAACTTAATTAACCCGACCAGCTTGGTGGGTTAACCTGATTATTTTTTTTAAAAGAAAAAGTTGTTTTAATTCTAAGAAATTATTAGTTTAATGACTAAAGGATTGTAGATAGGAATATTTTGTTACCATAACTCTATTTTGATATTTTGCTAGAATAAATAGTAAATTCTTTTAGTAATATAATACTATAATGTCGATTTGTCAAGGGGTTGTAGGGAAAACTGAAAAGCAAATGTAAGTATATGATTATTTTGTTAGAGATTCAAGGTATTGAATAGATATTTAGTCTTTAATAAGAATTTAAATTAATTTTTAATTTTTTTACTCCTCATAGGTTTAACCTCGATTTGAATCCAGTTTGACCTACCAATCTTTAACCATCTCGACCAGGTGGTAAAGTTTTAGTACCTTAGTATTTTGGTAATATCATTTTACTTATCAAAGGAAACCACAATTGACTTCAAAAACACGTTACGTAGTGCAGCTTTTATGTTTTTTCTTCCCAACAGATTTTATACATTGTTTGTGGCAAAAAAGGTATTTATTTTTGTGTGTGTATATTTCACTATTAATCCACTTTCTACGCCAGGAATTTGACGGCATCATTATGTGCAATTTTTTAAAGCATCTTGAAAAATTATATCGAAGGATAATAACATCGTAATAAATGTAAGTTTTGGTTATTAGTTTATAAGAATATAACTCATGCCTTATAGGGGTGTGTGTTTGAATTTTATCACTGATAAGAATATCATTTTAGTGGTTAATATTTGAATAATTTGCCAATGATCTTTTAGCTGTGAGATATATTCTGGTCATTGAGGATCTGTCTTTCTACATTTTAAATATTTTAAAGGTTTTCTTAATATTATTGATAGATGAATCTGTAATCAAATTCAATTTATTTATACTTTGATATATAAATGCATGGAGGCATGAGTAACATATTTAAAAAAGAAAACGCAAAATCAAAAGAACAATATATGCAAACTCAATAACCGAGTGACAGATTCAGATTTGAGTTCAATCGTAAGAAAAAAATGAATAAAACTAATTAAAAGAAAATTATAAAACTACTACAATTTTTTAAATCTTAATTATTATCACCAAGATCTCTCTGTAAAAAGTCTAGCTGATACTTGTAGGCCTTGGCATCTACCAAAGTCGTCAGATCTGACATGTACTTAACGTATTATATTCATAACCCCCTTAAGTTAAGTCCTGCAAGTCAAAATGAACTAAACAGGAAATTACTTCAATGTCACCAAGATTTTTTAAATATCTCGTTTACTTGTCTATATAAATATAGGGGTAGGTATGAGTCATGTAGCATGACTTTTGCATGAGAATTTTTTCAACTCTCATTGACTTGTTCATTAGGTTGGTACTGATATTCAAGATATAATTTTAGTTTTATAGTTTTATTTTTCAAAATTGAGGAACTAAAATTTAAATGGTTAAAAATATCCAAAGTTAAGATATTAAATTCTAATCGAATCAAAATTTATGTTCCTGAATAAAGTCATCAACAAACCAACAAGAGTTGGTTCAGTTGGTAAGGAATCAGCTTATAACTCATAAGGTCGTGAGTTCGAATCCTGCTCCTGATGTGAGGGCCTTGTTGGTGGGCAATATGTAAGTACCTCTGTAAGTGCTTTTTGAGCTTGGAGGCATGTCCTGGCTCTGGTGAGCTACCGAGATCCAACTCACCTAAACTTTTCCGTACAAAAAAAAAAAGGTCATCAACAACCTCATCAATTGTTTTTTTTTTTTTTGAATTTTTCCCTTATTATTAATTGAAGTTTAAAGTTGGGAAAATTTATTAATTTAAAATAAATATAATGACAAGTTAGATGATGGAAATATGAGATGAGGAGTGGGGATGATTGCTGTGAGGATCACAAAAGAACGGAAGTGGGAAGAAAATTGGATGATGGAAATATGAGATGAGAAGTGGGGATGATGGCTTTGAGGACCACAAAAGAACGCAAGTGGGAAGAAAATTGGATGATGGAAATATGAGATGAGAAGTGGGAAGAA